CAGTGTAGATCACATTAAATGATGGAGGTTCGCAGGTACCTCCATCAATGTTTGTGGTGACGAAGTCAATGAAGGTACCCAGGTTAGTTGCTGTGGAACGTCCCTTTATAAAACCATGCTGTTCTGTTGGTATCGAAGGCGAGATAATAGGATAGATGTGAATATGAACAATTCTCTCCAACACTTTGCTCAGAACATTAAGTATCGATATCGGCCGGTAATTCTCTATAACAGTTTTAAGTCCTTTCTTATGTACGGGAACAATATGAGCCTCTTTCCAAGCTCTTGGAAAATACCCATCGTGAATGCACCTATTAAATAGCAGTGTTATTGGCGCAGACAATGATTTAACGCATTTTACGAAAAATATAGGGGGCAAATTATCATTACCAGCTCCCTTTGTTATATCAAGCTTACTAATTACCTTATGAACTAACTCTTTGCTGACATTAATATTTTGAATTGTATTGCAATTTAAGGTGTCACCTTGCGTAAATGAATTATAATTTGGCAGATTGCAAAAATTGATAAGTAAATTAAATTGCAATCAAATTTCACTTTAAATGTCATATAAATATTATTGTAGTTGTACTTTACACTCGGATAGAGCTAACTACACTGGTTAAAATCCCGGCTCGCCATGGTTTTAATATATTCAGCTAAAAAACCGTTTAACGCGCGTTAAAATAAAAAAGCGATAAATTTGTTTACGGTAAGTAATTAAATGGAAGTACGAAAACATGTTATTACTTACATAAGGTTTTTTAAGTACAAGCATTAAAAAAAAATACAATTTATGGCTTTTAGCTGAGAATCAGGAATGAAAACAATTTTAATCGCTTCCTAAGGACTTGGCCTATTTGCATTCGTTTATTTCATATTCCAAATAGCTAATCAATCATTCGAGCTTTATCTGGTATCAAAAACAAGATTATTACCACGAGTAAAGATATGTCATGTTATTTTTTTAATTGGCGCGCAGGTCGCCGTCGATCTTTCGCGCCGATTAAAGAAACTTGTGCTTTAGGCCAAGGTTACAATGTCATACGGCCGGCGGGCATTTTTACAATAACGTTTCGCACCGAAGTTCAAAGCATAATTAATTTATCACGAACTTTGAAAAGCTTCAAGGAACAATGTAAGTTTTATCATAATTTATGTGCATTTGTTTTATTTATGTGCGTGCGTTTGTTTTGACAACTGCTGACGAAGTTAACAGTCGCTTCTATATTAAACGATGTTATGTTCAACTGTTCAAACAAAAAAATATTTATTTTGAAAATATGCATGCATTTCTATGAAAATATATGAATAATAATATTAGTATTGAAGATACTAATATTATTATTCATATATTTTTATTATCAATAAACATATTATTATAATGTTATTATCAATAAAAATATTATTATCTTTTCAATTTTGAGCTTTCTGCGACAAGTCGGCGAAGCAACTTAAAACTAGTTCCCATATATCAGTTGAATTTTTTTTAAATGAAAATTTAATAAACACTTTTTAAAATATTGTATTTTTTTTATTTAATTACGACTATACAATGCGCGTATGAGTTGAACAGTGATTTAATAAAGCCGAATCAAAGCGAAAGAAAACAAAATAGACATACAAAAGTTTCGTGTGAGACACATTTACCAAGGTGTTCAACTCTATTCAATCATATGGAATATGGAACGTGAAAAATAACCTTGCTTTTTTAAAAAAAAAAAACAATTTGAATTGAAAACACAGTAAGCTTGCTTGTGTGACGGAGAGCTCATTATTTTATATTAATTAGAAGAATAATTAAGGAAATTAAGCTAAACGGTACTACTACATCAAATATTTAACTAAAAGGGGCCTTTTATTAGTTTTATTACTAACATAAGTTTAATTAAAACCATATAGTGTCTTAAATGAATGAATGAAATAATGAACCATTTTATTTATATTTCGTAAAACAAAGTTTTTAAAAACAAACCCATATTTCAAAACAGATATTATAAAAGCATTACCTAATTAATTAATTTAAAAAAAGTATAGAAATGTAAAAAATGCACATCATACCTACTTTAGGTATTATTATTATTTAACAATTGTAAGAACACAAGAAACCCATTTCGCCGAACCCTGAAATTAACAAGTACACCTCGAGTTGGCAACCTCATTTACGCCTTAGTCACTAGATCACAGATACAAAAAGCTATAAGCATAAACGGCTGACATTATCCTCACATCACACACTCGCACATGTTTCTGACCTAGACATACTAAAGAGTACAGGAAGAGACCTTGCCGCAGAGGAAATCCACTACGCTTAAGGGTGCAAATATACAGCGTAAACACAGTGCTGATTATTCTAGAACGATTGCATTGCGATTTTACTTTCGTTTTCTTTAATAAACCGAGGTTATTACAAAATCAAGATGTTTCATCCTTACTTAATCTTTACTGATATTATAAACGCGAAAGTTTGCATCTATGGATGGATGTTTGTCACTCTTTCACGCAAATACTACTGAATTGATTTTAATGAAACTTTACAATTATATCGCATATACATCAGAATAACACATAGGCTACACTTTTTATACATATTTTTATGTATATCTATCTTTCTGTGTGAATGTTACGCCTTCAGCCTATTCTATTGGCAGCAGCTAGTTCTTTATAATTTTCAGCCGAATTCACCACGATGGCAACCTATGACTTTTTGGCCTTTGCATAATTCCAAATTATCTAACTTATGTTTTTTTCACAAACAAAGAGTACTGGCACACGGGATGTTTTCGTTATTTTTCTTTTGTTATTATTATTCTATTATTATTGTTATTATTCTTTTGTTACACTAATAAAGTATTACTTTCTTAACTACGTACATGGAAGGACACGCATTTATTTTTTATTTTTAATTACACATGCATTTTTACCCTAGCACGGCGTCAATTATAAAATGATCTTAAATTTTTTTTGCATTAGGTCAGATCTAGCTCCCATGTTGTCCCATATTAATTTCATTGATATTGAAACTTGAATCCCGAAGATACACCAGGGAACTCCTGAAAATAGAAAATACATTATAAGATATTTGAACTCGGTTTGTACTTGTGTAACAAAGTAACAATAGATTTCTCGAAGCTTATTCTGTGCTCACATCATTCGAATCTAAAGCAGAGGTTTCATCATCTGCCTCAATGTTTAAAATGACATCTAGTTAAATAGTGTTTTCATAGTTTGAATTGTTCGAATGACCTTCAGATATTTGGTAATAGTTATTGTATTTCAGTAAAAAAAAACTGAAGTGAAATCAAAGTAGAAATCATTGCGTGTTTTTTGCATAGGCACTTCTCGGTTTTAGTCAAGGCGATGACTTTACTACTACATGAATAGTTCATGACATAGTAAAACAGGAACTTAAAGATTGTATGAAAAGTGTGCATTAACGAAATTGCTTTTCCTTATTACGAACAACTATAAATCCTTTGTCCCGTAAACAGCAGCAATTAGAATTCAAATTGAGTCGCCAGCAATAACCTTAGAAATGAGTAAACATTCTATAAATGGCGATCATATGGTGCCCGCGGAAAAAGACGGCGCCATCTTGAAAATGCACCTAGAGAACTAAAAGCATAAGTCTATTAGACTGTACTGCATCGGAATAAGAGCGGTTATGCCTTGCCGGGTACAGGTGAACCGATCAAATGTAACATCGCCATTTAAGACATCAATGTCGTGAGCGGAAGGAAATAAGGTCATATGTTGCTTTTATCAATCGAATGTGTGCGTTTCGCGCGCAATCCTGTTCTCTGTTGAATACAATTTACAATTGTCAGTGCCACAGATTAAGTGACTTTTTTTAAAACATGTTATAAAGGTAAAATGCAAAGAACAGATATTTTCTTTACGAGAGGCCTAATAGTAATTCGTTTACGTAATATGGCTTATTAAATTACAAAAAAGTCTACTATAATGTCGAGAAATACAAATTAAACAAACGCGTTTTTATACGATTATAGCATGAGACTATATTGAAAAAAGTTGCAATAGTCTCTTCCAAATTATATATCGTCAGATTTTGTTGATCTCTTCGACTTCTTTCCCCCAATTTTGTTTACTTCAGAATTTTTTACTTTTCTTATTCCTCTATAACGTTCTTATGTTATAGCATTTTACCAAAAACTATCTAGAGGCGAATCAAATTATATTTTATATAAATTTCAGGAACTTTAGCATTTCGTGGACCTCATATTTCCGTATCTTCTTCGGGAAACTGTTAGAGCCACTGGTATAAGCTGTTAGTTATCGAGACAGTGTTATAGGTTCTTTAAAACTGTTTCCGTTCCGTGGTAGAACAACGCATCAGCTTTTTATGTGAGAAGGTGGCAAACGTGCTAACTACAGACAGTGAACATTTTCAACACCCGTAGAGTTGCAGATGTGTTTAATAAAGTGGGCCCCGGCTACCGCACACACCAGACGGGTGTTAGGTGTAGACAGTGGTAGGGCCACGGACAGGCCTCGGCTGTTGCACGAATGGGCAGGCTCGTCCGGGTAAGTACCACGACCTCACAGAAGACCGGGTTAAAGTGGAAGCATAATACTTTCGCGTTTCGCCTGGTGAGTGAGGCGGCCGGAGCCCAAATTTTCTAAAGGTTTTCAACGCATCTGTTACCCTCGGGTGTATCAGATGTCTATGGGTGGTGGCATTCACTTAACATCAGGTGAACCGTCTGCTCGCTTGGCAACTTTTCACATAAAAAAGACGCAACGCGGAACTGTAACACTTCCACTTCACGCCGGTCTTCCGCGAGGTCGTGGTACTCCCCTGGTGGGACCGTTCGTACGACAGCGAAGACTGTTCCGTGGCCCCACAACATACCGAAGATCCTGTCTATTTCTCACGTTGGTGCGAACCACAAGAGCCACGGCCTCCGAGGACCAGCGTAAACTGGACACAGATGCGCTTTGCGTTTCATTCGGCCGTTCAGTTAGGGGGTCACCGGTTAACGAGACCGCCACCTCAAACCAAAAGCTCGCCTCAAAGGGTCGCCGAAAAGCGATCCGGCGTGTCGCTCGCCATATCCGTTCGCGATACTTTCAATGCCGAAACGCAATAAGGCCGAGGTCGGGCGCGCGTGTGTGCCCAAGGGAGCGGCGGTGCAAGCGACAAGCGGCAGCGGATTGCAGTTGGATGTCACACATGCAAAGCGCACTCGGCGTCTAGATTCCACGAGGTTAGCAAGTATATGTGGTGGGGCGACGCAGCAGATTTCGCTGTTACACGAATTGCCAGGGATTTCCGTGGTGTACTGTCCTAATAATTAAGGCAGCATTAAACACACTTGGCGTTAGAACACATTCCGCTAACTCCACCCATGACTATATACAACACGCGTGGTGTTGCAGATGGCAATCTTTAATAGAGCGCTGGACCTTACTCGCCTTGCGAAATGTAACCTATCAGGCTATCATCCACTGCATGTTGGTGTCTTGTGAAACTATGGTACTTCCCTGGACAAGCATTCTACTAATGAAAGCATACATAGGTATCTTCAAACATATACGCGATAGCCTTTACCTTTTTTTAAAGTAACAGTGTTTAGTAATATCATTACGTGTAAGTTTTTGTGAAAACATTTACCCTTACTCTACATTAAGGGTAATGTTTAGAATGTTATTCTACATAACATTTTCACGTGGACTAACACCAAATTTCAGGTGTTTTAAATATCCACATCCGAAACAATCTTCTGTGAGTCACATCAATAACTGTTGTCCCGTGTAGGAATCGAACCTAAGATCACGGGCGTCGAAGCCTCCGCAACTGCGCCATGGAGTTATCACATAATATTGACATCCATAGACAGACATCCATTAATATTATTATCATTATCATGAGGAACACATAATATATTATGTTACACTTAAATAAGCTGTATCGTTTAATAGTAAAAATGGTGTCTCACCAAGATATCTAGTAGTGAACGCTGGTAACTATTGTGTTAAACTCAAATGATGATAGCAAAATAGCTATATTACATTATTTATGTAGTTTATTATGTAAAATTAGGAGTGTGGTGAAGGATAAAATCCTGCATATTTTCGATGTAAATAAAATAATATTTCTAACATAAATGTGAATTCCGCCATTCCGCAGTGGAGGCGCGTGGTGGACTATGCCCTGATAACCTCTGTACAAAGGAAGCCTTTGCCCAGCAGTGGGAAATGTATAGACTTTACTTTAAACAATAAGTAACTTGCAATAATAATTTTCCTGTAAACCTGTACTTCTACGTGTACTTGTATGCGTGTGTAGTGCAGTGATGGTCGTAAATCAAATAATCCTAAATAAAGTAATAAAATCGTTATATAAAATTAAATATAAATAAAACAACGAATCACTTGACCGAACTGCAGATTGTTAAATGAAACTATTTTACGGATTTTATAGCGTTTAATTTGATTTATAAATTTCACGGGGTTCAAAACCTTTCCAGCGTTCATGGTCACTTCGAAAGCCGTAAAATAATTTCATTTAACAAATTACGTATAATAAATATTAAAAAAGAAATCAATATGCGAACTACTAATTTTTTTTCTCATAAATCCAAAAAAGCTCAAGAAGACATTTTAACAATGCTAACCGGTAACTGCGATTTAAGCAACAAACATAAGTATTCTTTTCAAAGTCAATGTCAATTTATTTAGATTTTATTCATTTATTTTTAATTGATATCTTCCGCTTGCAACATGCGCCCACGTTTATTTTCATAAACAAGAATACTATTTGTTTCTTACTTCAATATCTTTCTTCCTTCTCGTCCGAACTACTGTAATTTGCCCATTGCCTCATTCACATTGCCTCTCGAATGCGTGTAATGTCAGTGTACAATATAAATATGGCATTGGTTATACTTAAATAGTTTAAAAATTAAATCCGTAAATGAGCTTATTTATAATGAGAATATATTTCCCACCAACTCAATAGAAAATTTTTCTATAATAACATCTGATCACGGGTAAACATTTTACAATTGACAGTTTCCTTCCAGATAGTTTTTGTTGCCAAACGCAACGCACGTACCATAAACAAGCGCCATTTTCCCGCCTTTTCTACATGCAAATTCAAGACTTTTTGACTTTAAAATTAAAATGGTAGTCAGGAAAGCGCGAAAAAAAGGACATGGTAACAACCATTTAATTTTCAAGCACGCGAGAATGAAAAATCTTTTCTTTTATTTATTTTTTTAAATCATACTTTTTGTTTTTTTTTTTTTGCTTTCACCACTCATTGCCGTAAACCGAATTTGTAAACATTTTAGAGTGGGTTCTCACGATACAGGCACGTCTAGTGTGAGGACCACAAGTTACATCTTGTTTTGTTTAGTGCTGCAGTCCAAATGTTTTGATAATTGCTTTAAAACTAAAACTTTATTATTATTATAATTTAGACAATATGTTTCTTGTGCTATTATCAATGAATATGCTACAATTAAATATTAAATATTAATGTAATTCAACTTTGATTACCTGAGAATGTTATACATAACTATACAATTAGACTACAAACATATCAACTACATATATTTCTTACATTTATGTTAATTTTCTTAGAAAATTACTGCAACCGGTTATTATCAATGAAAAACAAATAAAAAACGTAATTCAAATAAAACCCCGCTGATACGGTACCGCTGCATAATTTTGATCCAGATATATCACCGAAAAGCCAATTAAAATTGGACATGAGTTATGACATAACAAAACGAATTCACCATTTATTAAATACAGATAAGCAATTTAATGGCACAGATATAAAAGATTTTAATAGTGCCGCGTCTTAAATCGGTAATTTATTATTGTTTTACGGCACCGGCCGCACAGAATCGTGTGCATTGATAAATTGTAGTTATTAAAAATGGAACATTAATCATTACCTAACAAAATGACAATGGAGTAATTCGGTTATGGAATTTCGATGTATATCTGATTGAGAGAAATATTCGAATCATGTCAAGCAGGGCGAGGTCGAATCGACTTTCTGTAATCAAGAAAATATGTCGCCATAATACGTACGCCGTTTAAAATCTCGATCGTCGATACTGTGAAGCATTAAAACAACGCTCGAGACTCCGCTGCGCCAATCAAGGAAGTTAACTTCTTGATCTCCAGATTTTATAAGAGAACGTTTCAAAAGACAGCTTCTTGCATGATTGTAAATCAAAATTCAAATTCAAATATCAACATAGGAGCATGACACTAATTTATAGATTGTCAAAATACTATGCGGTTCGGAAAAGATAAGCCACTGACCTGAGAAGAACCGATGAATGACACTACATGACAACTATTTTTACCATTTTTGACAGTGTGAATATGTTTACAATAGAAAAAAGTCCAATTGAACAACGGCGGGATAACTCAAATGTAGACACCAAAAAGATTTAAAAGATAAAACACCCAAAAGAAACACCAAAAAGAAATAAAAGACTCCCTTCAGTATTTATACACGAAAGAAAGCGCCACCTCACTATTCTTTACATTTTTTGCAGTAACTACGCAGAGCGTTCAGATTTTCGAATGATCAGAATGATCATTTACTTCTAAGATGATCAGTGTTTCAGAAACCGGGCGTGAGTGCCGTCTTATCATGTGCTCAACGGTGAAAGAGAACATCGTGAATAAAGCTGCGTATTTTGCTTTTACAAAGGTTGATGTACAAAGGCGGACAATGCTGATGGCATTAAGTCCGCCTTTGTACATAATTTGTGTGCAATAAATAATAAATAAGCAAATGAATATAAGTATTTTTAAAATAATCGTATTTACTAGTGGTCGCCTATTGGTCGAAATTCAACCGTAATTTATAATATATGGTAGTATATAATGTAATTTTTATTGATTTACGTAATTATTTTATGCATAAGTTTATAAAAATAGTAGCATTCTGCACTCCTTAGCTATGTAAACTATAAGTATGAGACATTTCATACTCCTCCGTCCGTACAATTTTTCTAAAAAGGGGTACAAAGTAATTGTTATAGAATATTACATATAATATATATATTTAGTTTCAGAATATTTCGAAGAGATGTAAGTCCGCCAATCCCCGATAGGGTCAAATCAAAGAGAATGTAATCACTACGTTTAACGTTGGACGTTAGGTCAAATGACGGACAATGCCTTAATACTACTAGGCTGTCGTTTACTTTTTTTATGCGCTAATCTCCTCTGTAGAGAGGAGGCCTTTGCTCAGCAGTTGGGACATATATGGCCTGCTACTTCAGAAAAATATATATTGACAGTTCCGTAATATGTCTAAAAATCCGTATAGGTAAAAATTAGTACTGACATAATTCTGGAAAAAACTTAAGTTTTCCTGAGTGCAACTTCTTCTAACTACGCTATATACACTTACGAGCTTCGGAGACACGTGCGACAAATTTAGATTTCCAAAAGATGAACTTGAAACAATGGATGTTAGGTATAAAATACTATTATTCTTTTTCTTTGCTTTACAGAAGTCGGCGTGCCTATTGCGTCCTACATTCCTATAATCATAAATAATCCGTTTTTTTTTTTTAATACAGATCGTGCTAATGGTTTTAAGATGTTCGGATTACGGCGAAAACGTGACGGACTGTCAAAACAATATCGTTTCGCAATGTTGGTACAATCTCAATATGTTATTTGCATCATTCATTCATCACCACACTGGGGAATCTTTAGATAGATTTTTGATTGAATATTATTATCTAAATTCATCGGTTTACGTGTCGTCAATGATATTATTCTTACCTTTTTACTAATATAATATAGGCGAAAGTTTGTATGCATGGATGGATGTTTGTTACTCTATCACGCGAATACTACTGAATGGATTTTAATGAAACTTTACAATAATATAGCTTATACATCAGAATATCACATAGGCTATAATTTATAAATATTTTTATGTATATCTGTCTTTCTGTCTGAATATTACGCCTTCAGACTTCAGCCTATTCTACGCAGACGTAGTCCCGGGCAAAAGCTAGTATACAAATATAGATAAGACACTAGCGCACCGAAACTGAGGCGCTCAAATTACGCCAATTGGTGTAATTCTTTAGACTGCTCTTTCCGTATCATGCGTTCTACTACATCATCTGTCCCATTCATTTATGTATGTAAAGCGGAAAAAATTTTAAACGCCACGCAGCATGGACATGCGTATCTTGTATCTTGTATTAACTGATGTTTGTGCTTTCAGTCCCGAGACTATTAAAGCTTCATCTGATGCAGAACCGGTGGGCTAGCCAGAACCCACGGGTTTGGGCCCTCCCGCTGTGGGAAGGCGTTTAACTACGGCATGTCATCTAAGGCCCATCGAGGTTACGGTGCGGACCGAGACCCCGATGGCCGTCGACTGTGTTTTTAGCTAATCGGTGGCTGCGGGCGGTGAGGACCGCCCTGGAACGCGGGTGTACCTTGTGTACGCGTTGTGTTGTCATTGCGTGTCGTGAATTTGTCTGACGTTTGAAGAACGAAAAAGAGGCTGCAACCATTAGACAGTGGTAGCGCCACGCGGCAGTCTTCGTTGTTGCACGAATGGGCAGGTCCATCCGGGGAAGTACCACGGCCTACAAAAGACCGGTGGTAAATGGAAGTATATACTTACGCGTTTCGTCTGTTGAGCGAGTTACCGGGCCCCACTTCTTGCGGCTCCGTACTCAAAGGGTAAAACGGGACCCTACTATTAAGACACCGCTGTCTGTCTGTTCGTCTGTCACTCTGTCACCAGGCTGTATCTCATGAATCGTGATACTTAGACAGTTGAAATTCCCACATAATATGATGTATTTCTGTTGCCGCTGTAACGACAAATACTAAAAAACAATAAAAGATATTTGAGTTGAGCTCCCATACAACAGACATGATTTTTTTTGCCGTTTTTATAGATAATGGTACGGAACCCTTCGTGCGCGAGTCCGATTCGCACTTGTTTAATAGTTGTCAACGCCTCTACACCCTACTAACATCGGGTGAACCGCCTGCACGCTTGCCAACTTTCAAATAAAAAAAAAACTATCGACAAATATTACTCACTAACTGATATCGTCTGCTTAACTTATAGCTTTTACAGTGTATTTTATATGCAAAGGAAACAACAACAGAAAAATCGGAAGTTAAAAAAACGCGACACAATTACAATCATGGCTCGCGAGGCTATTGGATTAAGGAAACAAACAAATTTTAATAAAGAGATTTGTTGGCTTATACTAACAGCTTGTGGTCGGGTTATGAATAAAATGAAATTCAGGCACGCTTGGGACAGCACTGGAACGCTTTGAGACAAAATTAGCATTTACTTCGTAAATCGGCCTTAAATTATTTCACACTAGCTTTTTTTTATTATCTTTATTTTTATGGGGTTTTATCTATTAAGATAGGCAACCCTATCATAACTTATACAGATTACAACAACTTACGAAATACGACTCCTTAAAATTATAGATTTATTAAATAATTTGAACAAGGCCGCAAATACGTTTAGTTGTTTCACTTTTGGGATTCGCCAATATATTAAATATAAGACCAACATCTAATAAATTTACATTCAGATCTTTCTACAGCAGTTATTTCAGCAGATTTACGCGACTTCGTTTGCATTGCGTACTATATTAATTACAACGCTTGCCCCACTTATCCATGGCAAGAAAACACACATTGCTGAACACATGGTGTTTATAGAAATAGTTATTACTTATAATTAAAAAAAATTAAAGTAAAATAACGGCCCATAATTGTCCCACTGATGTGCAAAGGCCTCCCCTGTAAAGACTCTCTCTACAGTGGAAATATTTACCCAGCAGAATCCACCAGTTAGTGCAGAGTCCACCACGCGACCCAACTGGGGATTGGATTTCACATATTTTGAAAGCTTTTTTTGTTATGATTGTGAAAATGTGTAGTTTTCCTGACAATCAATAAATAAGTGTAATGCTTCTATATTGAATAAAGCCATTTGAATTTGAGTTAAACAGGAAAACAGGAAAAGTTATTTCCGCTAAAAGGAAAAATACTGCTAACCGTGTAAGTAACAATGAACGACAGGTGG